GTCTGTATGATACTTTGTTGACTGCGACATATTTCCGTTAAATGATCAGGTCTTTGAGTTATGAAAAGACGAAAAATTTAAATTGATAAATTTTGCGGTATTATAAAATATAAATTTTTATAGCGAAAAAACCCAGACCGAAATTCTTTTTTTTTTTTTAAATCTTCTTAAAAGTACAATCGCTTGTCCAAATTTTATGAAGATTAATCAGAACCGATGAGAACTAGGATCAATAGTAAATTAAGGAATTTTTTCAAAAGATTTTAACTTAATTCATGTTAACACCGATGAGCGGTATTGATCTAAAGACTCCAAAATGATGTTCTTTGGATTCACTATTACGGTTAGTAAAAAGTTTTTGAAAATAAGATTAAAAAAAAAAAAAAATTCTTTAAATATTAAAAAAACCTGAAGCAAAAATTTATAATTGTGGAATAACTGTAGTTTTTCTTGATGAAGTTTTGAACATTGTTAAAAGAATAAAATCTTACATTGATGTAGAGAACTCTAACAAACTCTTACTTCTTTGTTTGTCTTTTTGACCAGCTTTTTCAAATTGACTTAAATGTTGTATATTTTTAAATACTTTATAGCATTTTAAGCTGAAGTGAAAAACTAAAATGTAAAAAACATAAAAAACAATTACACCATTTTTTAAACTCTAAACAATTTTATTGATATTAGTTAAGATGATGATCTGGATGCAGATGATGATCTGGATGCATCGTGAAAACTTTAGAAACACTTTTTTAAGCAAATTTTGGCTAACGTTAAACGGAAGTTTGCGCATCTCTATATCAAGCTTAAATTGCGTCACTAATTTTTAAACAATTTTTGAAATTTTTCACATGAATTACATTATTCTGTGTTTGAATACCATTCAATAGCTTATTGGGCATTTCCAAGTTTTTTTCAGTTGTTTGTTCTTAAAAAACCTCCCTGAATAAAAAAATGTTATATTACTCATATTCTATATATTAAACTTAATCAAAGTGTGTCATGGGAACTTGCCTCGCTCTTCGTCCATCCAATGATTTTTTAAATAATTGTCAATTGGTATAAATAGGGCAGTCCGATTCGTCCGAATCGGACGATATGAAATACTCGTATTATTTGGATAATTAGGGTCCTCTGTTTCAATTTCGTCCTCATTGAGTTATTTAGCAAAGGCTGTGTTCTCTTCTACCGCAATTACGGCCATTAACTCTCTTTTGCACTTGACGGCAATGCGAACAGGTCTAACTCGTAAATGGGAATTGCCATTTGGTTAATAAAATTGAAATGAGTAATGCTGACATGCTTTTTTAACATGACATAGGAGGCAAAGTACAAGTTACCATGTTTACAGATTTTTCTAAATAAACTTGATTAAGACATAAAAGGCTAACCATTTCAGATCCTTCGATAAGAGATGATTCACATCGAGCTCCGTCTTGTCGTCTGGATTGATATACTCAACCGCCATTGGAAACTGATCAACTATCAGACCTGAAAAGATCGAGAGACAAATCTTTCCAGCAAAATCAAAGTTCTGTTTTTCCAAAAGAAGATCCACTGTCCTATCTTAAATACAAGTCGCGATGCCGATAATTTATTTTTTAATCCTTGCTATATATATACTGTAATTTGATAAAGAGTTGATATTAAAAATGAATTCCTTGAGAGAAAAATTTGAATTCCTTGAGAGTCTAGATGAGTTCCATAATGATCAATCAATCCCGCTGAATTAACACTGAAGACAACCACTGGCTTGACCAACTTTGGTAAAAGGTCTTTTGTAATGGAATCGAACTCTGGCAGAGTCAAAAGTCGATTATGAATGCTTTTCAGATCAAACAGCAATATAAGTGGGGCCGAAATAGGAAACTGCATCAGTCATTTTCCCAGCTCATTTGGTTTGATTTCAATGCCTGCATAGAGAGATGAAATGAGCTTGTGCTTTGCGGCGATGACCAAATCATGATCAGGAAAAGAAACTCGATATTTGATATGCATTAATATAGTGTTTAACTAGCTTGTTTGTTAGCAGCGGTGATTCCAATTGAGATCCAAGCCTTATCGTCTTTTTTAAGCCCCTAGGATGTGGCTTAAAACAGAGCAAACTTCTTAAACATTCTTTATAGTTGGTGTACAAAATGGATTATCCACGTGGCTTAAATAAATATTGTTTTAGGATCGCATCAAATTGATTGAAACCGTGTGGATGTGTCTCTTTCCTTCAAACAATTTGCTCCATTTTGGCATCAACCAAGTATATAAAACACTTCTGCCAAGTAGGGATGGCACTTTTACTTATTTTGATGTAAAAACGCGAATTACTTTTAAGCGCAAATTACTTTACATAACTTATATAAAAATATATAACTTACTTACATTTAAAAGTAATTCGTTTTTTTTTTACGTAAATTATATAACGTGTAAAACTTAATTACTTAAATTAAGTTTTTTAAATGAGTAACTGTAAAGACGAGTTTCCACTCATCCTTTCTTTCACGGGAACGGGAAAGGGACGGAAAAAATAATCACGTGGGCTGCGTTATATAAAACTACGCATGCTCACGTGATTATTTTTCCCTTTCCTATCCCGTTCCCGTGAAAAAACGGATGAGTGGAAACTCACCTTTACTTGAAAAAGTAATTTACTTTTACAAGTAAAAGTTATTTGCATTTTTACTTTTACTTGTAAAAGTAACTTACTTTTAATGGTAAGTCGTGTAAAGTAAATTACTTTCAAAAGTAATTTTGGTTATAATTATGTAAAAAATTTACATCGAAATGTAATTTACTTTTTAAATAAAAAAAAAGTTATTTATGAAGTAAACTTACGTATTTAAAAAACATAACACATACTTTACCAAGTAAAATAAAACTACATCACAACAACAAAATACTTATACATGTAAAAGTAACTAATTAGCATTAACAGCTTACATAAAAGTAATTTGAAAAAATTGTTATTTACTTTTACAAATGAAAGTAATTTTTTCTTTGAAATTTTATACTTTACTTTCTAAGTAAGTAAAATGTAAGTTACATTATTTACTTTCTTAAAGAACAGTCATTTAATGTTGATTTAACGTAAATTTTGAGATAGGTAGCGTATTCAAATCCATTTTCTGTTTGAGGGCACTTCTGGGTACTACTTCAGGTATGAGGGCAAGTACGTGGTGGGGCATCAGGAAAAATTTATTTTCACGTATATCAGAAAGGGTAGTTCAATTATAATTAGAGCCAAATATAGTCATGCGGGAATAACAGTAGTGTAGAGACGGGAACCTTGCCGCATGAGTGCTAATAGAAGCTGGTAAATAATCATTGATTTTTTTTTTTTTTTTTTTTATTGTAAAGTAGAAATAGGCTAGTGGCCATAATGAAACTTTGTCGGGTGAGGATGAGAGCATAATTTCTTAGCTATGGGTAATTCATGCATGTGTAAACCCTGACTATGTCACTGTTCGTTAGAGCGCGCTTTTTCTCCAGTTTTTTTCTTTGTGTTTGCTTTTTGAATCAAGTATTTTGTTATGGTAATATGACGCAATATAATATTTTTGGTACCCGCAAGGACATCGACTGCTACAACAGTTTTCAAAAAATTATAAGTCATTTAAACTATAAGTTATAATTTATATGATTAAAGGAGTGTTTATCAGATATAATCTTTTATTGCGTTTTATCATATTTTATGAAATTATATTGCGTTTTATCATATATAATGAATTTTCTATTTGAAAAAAGATGGTAAGAAAAGCTGTTAAATCTTCTAATATAGGTTGTGGGCACCCTAATAACCTACTTTTTGCTGCATTGGTGTCCAACCTGCACAAGGACAATAGGACAAATAAAATCTTATTCAATTAAAATAGCGCTTTAGAATTAACTTGTAATTTTTTTTTTCAAATTTATTTTGACTTTACAAGATGTTTGTCGGCTATCAGTTGTTGGAATCTTGCGATTGATTTTTCACTACCTTCCGGACTAGCTAGAGCTCTGAAACTTCCAGCATATATGTAAATTTACTAAAAGTAAATCTTAAAATTGTTTTCAGAGCCAATTGGAGAACTCAACTTTTTGAAATCTCTTTTTTTTTTATAATTATTTTACTTTATCTTTTAGACTTTACTTTGATCTTACTTTATCATGACAGCATTTGGGTAGTCCCAATGAAATTACATGTTAAATTTGTTTCCTGCAAAGAGGGTTGTACCCTTTATTTTTTTCTCTAATATTTTGTTTTTCTCTAATAATGAGGTCTTTAACTTTTTAGAAAGAATGATTTTTGCAAAAAACTTTTAAAAAGGCATTTTTTTTTTTTGGTTTATTTGTTTTAGTATTAATTTTTTTGTCGGGAGGAAATAAGTTAATGGCCCTGATAAAAATTTACCATAAAAGAGTCGTGCATATTTGTAGCTATGCTGATGCTTTTTGCTTCTCTTAATCAGTGTGGTTGTTTTTAACGCTAATGCACTAACTCAAATGCATATATAACAGCTTGGGGTGTGATACCCCTTTCACCACCCTGGTCCTGGTCGTAACAACCACTCTAACAGAAATGAATTTTTTTTTTTTGTTTTTGTTTATTTATTATTATCTATTCATAAAACTGTTGTCTGGAATTAACTAATTTCAAATAGTCTATTCTAGACATCAATTATTCCTTTATTATTCTATTATCTAACAATTATTCTAGTTAGTCATTTCAAGAAATAACTTAGATTTTCGTTAGATTGGTTTTTAACAACAACCACCCTGAATAAAAGAAGCCAAAATGCAAAACTTAGAACAAAATTGCAAAATGCAGAGTCATTTCCAAAGCAAGAACAATAAACCAGACAGTTTTTTTAAAAAAATATTTAAATAACTGATGTAAATAACATTAAAAAAGTTAAAGTTAAAATAGTAAAAGTAACTTTAAAATTAACTTAAAAAAAAATTTATAACTTTTCATAACTACAACAACCGCCTATTTTAATTTGTTTAATATAACGAATTTAGTAGGATGGTTCAAAAAAGCAAAATACTTTTTAAAATAATGGTTAAAATACTTTTCCTCATTTTCAGTTAAATACAAAGTTTTAAAGTAAAATTTCAATTCTTCTCTTTAAGTAGCATCGAGTACCGCAAGTTTCTTGAGCTTAAGTTACTTCTTTCTTTGCGATGAATAAAGTTAGCAACACTAAATGAGGATTCTGGCCGTACCGAACTAGCAGGTGAAGTATATACCTCTCTTGCTTTAGAGGCTAAAATTGGAATATCGTTTTCATACTTGTACCAAAATTCATCGAATTTCCAAGTTTTTGCTTTTATAGTATAATTGAAAAAGGATAACTCCTCTTTTATATTTCGCTTTAACTGTGTTTTTTCTTCGCACAGATTAAAACCACATAATGTTGCAAGCTTAGCAAACCCATTTTTGCGTTTAACAGGAACTTCATGTGAAACATGAAATTGAACATCGTTACTTGAATCAATCATATCTAAAAATGAAAACAAGTATTTATATAAGCTAAAATGTAATCTATTTTTTAACAACAATGAAAATGTAAAAAAAGTAAAATTTTTATGTAAATTTAAAAACAAATGTTTTTTAACAAACATAAATTTTAGGTTTATAGCTAATCACTTCTCGAATAATTTTGTTCATTTTGCAAACAAATGTTTGTATGCGTTGATCTTCGAGGATATTGTCGGAGTGCTGACTTTGCAAATTTTTTCATAAGTTTGCTTTCTGCTTCTTGATTGTTTAACATTAGCTACCGTCTTTCTTAACCTGAATAATATGCTTGATGAATAAATGAATAACTGTTCAACATTTTCATTGGTTGACGCCTGCTCCTCCTCGCTACTTTTTTCATCATCTGAGCTAACGTCTTCTTTGTCATAAGTGCATGCAATTTTGTCTTGATCGTCAGATGAAGTATTTCCATTTGATTCGATATCGCTTTTTTATTGTTTCGCAGTGGAAGCTTTTAAAGTTCCACCACTTATATGGAACCATCAGGCCGTAATAGTCTTAAGAAAAGCAAGAAATATTTTATATAAGTGCAAGAAAGAGCAAGATAAATTATAATATTTGGACAGATGTCCAGAACTAAGAGTTGGTGTTTAAAAGAAGAGTACTATTCAGTAATTAAGTTTGAGTTAAGTAAGTGTTGTTCATGTTAGATTTAATACGTGTTGTTGCTGTGTTCTGTAAGTTATTGTGTTTTGGGTTTGTACTCTTCTAAACGTTAAAGTTTTATGTGTCATTTAATGTCTTTATTGCTTTGAATCTGTGTGTTCGTAAATAATGGTTCTTAGTCTCGCTCAGTCCAATCTTATTATGTTCTCTTCACATATCAGGTTCGCAACTAGAATAAGTGAGCATAGTCACTAGTGGAACATATTTAGACGTAAATGCCCTAGACAAAGGAAGTGACTGATCATATTAGAAAAAGTTATTGTTTTTACTTATTTCCAGCTTTGTTTAACCCAGCACAGGCTCAATTATAATTCACACCGCTTAGCGGAGTTGATCGTTTTAATGAATTTGTTTTATTTTATAAAAACATGCAACCTTATAATAAAAATATTTGTTTTAAATTTAGTTTATATACTCAAAGATCGACAAACACAATAATTCTGTTTATTTACATGCAACCCGAATACCTTCAGCCACAGATAAAAACAAAAGAACATCTAAGTAAACCTATATGAAATTATAAAATAAATATTCAAAAACATATTACAAAAATCAAAACAATTATTAACAATTGCCATCGTTGTGGTAAGCATAATGTGATATACAATTAACCTAATATAACACAATTACTCAATTCTTTAGACAAAAAAAAAAGTACAACTATAAAGCAGAATTATTACAACAAACAACAAAAACAAACATCTAATACAAAGGGGAAACGCGCGTATAATTGTTTAAAGAAAGAAAATAAAAATACATCAGCGTTAAAATAAAATTTAAAATTATGTAGTATAATACCAGATTCTCGTCAGGAAGTGAACATTATATTGATCTTTATAAAGATTCAATACTCTGGTATTTGAATGTTTTAATGCTCATTTCTAGAAACTCCCGTCGGGGTAACATCCTCAAAACAAGCAAATAAAACCCACTGTGCCCCAGTACTGGGGCACAGTGAATCAATGAACACAGCTGTGAATTAATTATAGTGATTAGCGGCATAGTCAAATAAATATAAGGCTAAAGACACTGTAAAAATAGACCTTTTGAAAATTGAGACGAAAAAAAAAGTTTTGTTATCAATAAAAACTTTATTGATAACAAAACTTATAAAAGTATTAAAAAATTAAAAAATTATTTAAATATTATTATTAAAAACTTAAAACTAATAAATTCATTTTCATGTAGTTTGTTTGTTAAAAATGCATGAATTTAATCTTTAAGATCATTAATCGGACATCAGCGAACCAATCCATCCACCGCACCCCGATTCACCGCGCCCCTTCATAACAAATTTAGTTTAAGTCTAATTTATTGGAGCATGAGTGTTGTTAAAAGAAAAGCTAAACTACTAAAAGGAAATATCAATAATCCGAATGAAAAACTTCAACTTTTAAAATTATTTCAACCATAATTTCCTTAACAAACATAAGGAAGGTAAGAAAATTTACTTTAGTTAGCTAAAAACAAAAATTACCTACCAAAAACCGGTAGTCAAATACTTTGTGGTAACTACTATAAATAAAGAGGGCTAATATATGAGCACATAAAATGATTACATTACTAAGATAAATAAAATTCTAATCTTTGAGAAAATGACTCTTATTCACTGTGCCCCAATATATTTATCTACTGTACCCCAAATTCCACTACCTGAAAAATTAATATGTAAGTAGCTAAAACACCAAAGGGCGTTTAAATTGGCTCTTTACTTACAGAGAAATTTTTTGAAATTTTGGTTGAAATAATTACTAACAGCAATTTAAATCTCATGTATAAAATAAACTATTACAAAATAATTGGTAATATGACAATGGTATTGAACCAGAGTACAGTATATCGATCGAACTTAACACAACTTATATATCCAAAAGTGCACCTGTTTAGTATATTTTTGGTAGTGTTAAATTTTAAATATTTTTATAATATTTTGTATTACAATGCATAATATTAAATTATCTTTAATATTATGCTCTATTGTGGTATAAATAAAAACATACTTAAGTGCCAAACATTAGTTTGTTCTTGCTTATCACATGAGAATGTTTAGAAAAAGATTGGAACAACCACCTCATTAGGCGAAGGTGTAAGCTTTACAAAATTATACATTTTAAAAAAATCATTACTAATTTGTTGCCCTCACATTTAGAGTAGAGATGGTAAATGTTTAGGGTATTTTGTATCCAGGCTTACGTGACCAAGGTGCCTAATTTCTGTTTTTTCTGGAACAATAACTTTTCTAAAGAAAAAACAAAAAAAAACTCTTTAAATATATCTTAAATATATCTCCTAAACCTTGCGGCTCTAGGTTCAGTTGCTTGTGGGACCGTAAGTTTTGCTTATACTGGCATTGCTGTAGCTAGGCCACTGATACTACCTGCAGATAAAGATATTTACGTGAAAAGTTCTAAATTTTTTATGTTTTTTATAAGTCCTTACGGTCTTCGCACCGCTGATGAGCACTTAACACGCAGAGCACCGCTGATGAGCATTTAATTGAAAGTTCACGCCTTTTTTCTAACCGATGTCGCAAAACATTCCTAGAAATGGGGTTTGAACCACGGATCCTTTGTTTCTGAGGCAAGTACACTACCACTGCGCCACGGCTGCTCAAATCTCAAAATAATTAGGGTAGATTAGGGTAATATGAGCACCTTAAGCAAAAATTGGAATACTTTCAAAAATAAATATGCTGGATCCAAAATATTTGCAAGTAAATAATTTTTAGGGATCCCTATTCATAATCTCATTAGATATTTGGGCACTTGACATTTTTTCTTAAAAACACAGAGGTTTTAAAAAAGTAGCAAAAGTGCTCGTATTACCCTGACCCCTTGGTAATATGAGCACTTTAAATTAGCTCAAAAAAATAGCATTAATTAAGTAAAAAAAGACCAACCTGCTTAATAGAACTAATTGTTGGAATATAAGAATTCGTGATTAACAAAACATATCATTAAAAGATCAAATTTTAAGCTACATTTTGTTAAAACAATACTACTATGTTTTCCGCCAAAAAAAAATTAATACATTGTTTTTTCAATTTTGTTAACTCAAACCTTTGAACAATAAAAATTAAAATATTTTAGATTTAAGTTACAGAAAAATATTTAGTATTGTTAATATATTAAAATTTTTTACTATGTTTTGTTTTTATTCAAGAAGCAACTAAAAACCACTGCTATTTTAGGACTTTAAACTAAGCAATTTCAATGAAAACCACTGGGTAATTTGAGCATGCTCATATTACACAAAAATGGTATCTTTAAATAAAGTCAAAAATAAATGTTTCTATGCATTATTTTTCAAACAAAAATGAATTGGATTTTTAGCTGATATACTTTTCTTTATGAAAAAATTAATTTTATTATTTTAGCACCAAAATATCGCGCCACAGAATTATTCACGCGTGATGATTTTTTTTAACAAAGCAAAAAATTTAAAAGCGTTTTAATTAGATGATATCCGCTAACTACTGCGTATAAATTTACGCTAATTGTACTGATTCCTGTTATCACCACATAAAATCGATTCGAAAAACATAAAGCAACTTTAGCTTCACTGCTCACATCTAATAAATCTTTAAGTATGCTCATATTACCAAGGTACTCATATTACCCTAATCTACCCTAAATATAAAAGTACCGTAGTTGTTTAAACCAAGACTTTTAGAGTCAAAGGATATTCTTGAGCAGGTGGACTTTTTTAGTATCAAAGTGGCATCAAATCTTTACAAAATTAAAGCGTCCTCTGAAAATGTTCGGGGCTCCTTATTCTTCAAGGGATGGTGTTATAGCCCCGATAATTCAGGACAAGTTTAAACTTTCTCTCCTTAGTTTTTAAATAATAAATACATTTACGCAAAAACATGTTAAAAGGACTAACAATTATGTCAATTAATTTTCTTTCAAATAAACTACCCTTTCTGAGTCTCCCATGGGTATATGCACCTTCTGCTAACATCCTTTTCTCAGCTTTGTCCAGACCTTTCGAACGGTTGGCCAGAGAGTGAACATTGTTGAGATGCTTTGCTTCGGAGAATGTTTATTATAGCTAAAACTATCATGATCGGAACTAGAGAGTTTTAATCATGGGCCCCAGTGGGCACCGGACCAAAACAAAACGTCTTTTGAACGTTCAAAAGACGTCCAAAACGTTCAAAAAACGTTTAAAAGACGTCTAAAACGTTTATAAGACCTTTAAAAGACGTCTTTTTTACGTCCGTGTCCACTGGGGCGGAACCCTATTATTGATTTTTTCAAACTTTACAAAACCGCGCAAATCAAATGTTGGGGAAAACTAAATGTCTTATGCGTTATTCCTTAAAATTTTACTTTTTTGCATTACTTTTGTAGAAGATCCCGTCAAAGTTATTGTAAAATATAAGTAAATTTATTTACTTACTTTATATAAATTACTTTTAATTTACTTTACAAATTATATAAAATGTAAGTTTATGTAATTTAAACTTTATTTTATATAACTTATTTTTAATAAAGATTTGTTATTACTTTTAATATAGAAAATTCCTACTTAAAAAATATTATTTTTTTTGTAAATTTAATTTACATTTGCTAGCATATTACTTTTATGTAGTTTACTTTTATATGTAAGTTACTTTTTAATATAATTTTTTTTAATTAGTTACTTTTAAAAGTAAATGTAAATTACAGTTTGAGTAACTTTTATATTATATAAAGTAATTTTCAAAAGTAATTAACTTTTAAATGTAAAAGTAAACAGCTTTTTCACGTGGCTTACTTTTACATGTAAAAGTAAATTACTTTTTGATCTAATCTTTTTTTACATAACTTACTTTTGAAAGTAAAAAAACTTACATTATAAAGTAAAAGTCGTTTCAAAAAAATTAATTACTTATACGGAAATGCAAATTTACATAAAACGTTTAAAATTACTTATGTAATTTACTTTTTGATAAAAATTGTTTTACTCGTATTTAGCCTCTCTTTTTGAGCTCAGTACCAAACTCATCCAAAGATTTGAGGCTCTTTATAAAATAATTTAAAATTATAAGTGAATAAGTTTAGAGGCTAAAATATTATATTTTTTTATTAACTGAAGTTGTACTCTCACCTTATACACTTCAAATTGCCTCTTATTGTGGGCAGCACGTGTTTATCAAGTTGAATGATGATGCGCAATAGCTCAGATTGTTCTATTTCATTGGTAAGCAATTAATTCCTTCACGTGCACTTATGCAATTAATTATAATATAGTCAAAACGATTTTTTTTTCTTTAATTACGATAAATAAAAACATTTCGTTGACCTGATAAAAACAAGTTTGCATAGTTTTCCATGTTATTAAAACTAAAACAAAAAAACTCCATAACATGACGTGCATCTCTAATGACCTACCCCCCCCCCTCTTTTCCCTTCTCCTCTTTTGTCCTTTTTACTTTGAGCCTCCTTTTTTTTTTTTGCATATCTCATTTTTTTTTTTTTTTGCATATCTGCATATTTCATGCGGAAAACTGGGGTTTAAACATATTATTCGTAAATCATGCATGTTTTCATGATATTAGAATAAGTTTATGATCGTTAGTTGGGTCTGAAATTTCTTCTTATATAAAATTATCTTCTGCTATTTATAGTTTATTGTCATTTACTGAAAATAAGCAGCCGTGGCGCAGTGGTAGCGTATTTGCCTCAGAAACGTAGGATCCGTGGTTGAAACCCCACCTCTGGGCAAGTTTTGCGACATCGGTTGGGAAGGAGGCGTGGACTTCCTATTAAATGCTCTTCCGCGGTGCTCTGTGATAAGACCGTAAGGACTTCTTGGGGCACCTAAATTAACTTGGTTAACAAGGTTTTAATTTTCTACTAGTTTTTTCATTTTGGATTGCAAGTTAAAGTTATAAATAGATCTGGTTTAACATTTATTTTTAGTTCTGCCGTTACATCTTCAACGTTTTTTTTTATTTCTCTTGGACGTAAGACACAAGAAGAAGGTAGAGAGAAGTCGGGTAACACCGAACGGTAGATCACTCCGGATACTTGATGTACATCTAAGACTAAAGAAGCTATGTGGTTTTAAACATTATAAAAACATTATTTGAGTGAAAATGTAGCATATGCAAAACATATATTATAATTTGCCAAAGCAATTGGGGAGTGCAAAAGTTTCCCACATCCAGAAAAGCGATGCAAAATATTGTTTCCCAAATCCAGAAAAGCGATGTATCATAATATTTGATTCACATATTATTATACCTAATTTTTATGTAAACTAATAACTTTTTATTGATTAAAGATTCATTTTTATTTACAAAATTTATTAAAAAAAAATTCGTTTAATATTCTAATTCACTGGTTTTGAAACTAGTATTTGTGAATGAGGTATGAACGGGTGGTATCGGTCACATGTTTGGAGGGTGGTTCCTGACAAGTTAATCCGTTTACATATTAAAAATGATCAGATTTTTTATTTAAATAGTAATACATTTAACATAATACACAAAACCATAAATTTTCAATAAAAGATCTAAGATTTGAAAAAAGATTTTTAAAGTGTTTATTTTCATTAGTAAAAAGTTTGTTTATATTTCTAAATGATGACTTTTTCTTTCGCATTCCTTATACATCCGAGGCAATTTTTAAAAGCAATTTTTTTTTTAAATGTGTTGAGATCTAATTAATTTAAAATTTTTTTAAAAATTTAAAGATTCCATTTCAAACGTAATTTATTCTTTGATAACATTACTAATAAATACGATTCTTTGTTTACAAAATATTTATATAGATTATAATTAAATGAGAGTAAATTAAAGATTGCTAGTTATTATGAAAGTTTTATTTTTTCGAAGTAAAAGTAAGTAACAATACTAAAATAAAAATAATAACAAATATAAATAATAGAATATTCTTTTTTTAGATAATAAACAGTAATAATATATTGAACAATAATTGCAATATAAATAATGATGATTTAAAAAAAAATTAGCTAAAATAACTATAATATATTTTATAAAAGCATTTTATAATTATGAACTATATATTTAAAGATTGGTCAGCAAAATTGATGTACAACGGAGTTAGCTATGGAGTGAGAAAAATCATTGATATATGCCAAAAAAAACCACATTTTTGTACTAGTTGTAAGTTCACCTTCTTTACATCAACACATTTAACCCACCGTTGGTAATTTTAATAATATGCTTTGGCACATCTTTAATATTAAAGATTTAAACAGCCTTTTTTTCTTCCAATAAACAGCAATAAAAATTGAAATTTTTATTGCTATTTATTGAAATTTGGAAAATTACAATGGGAACTATTGCAATTTAAACAGTAGTGTTATGAAGCAGAACGCATTTTCAACTACGTTAAGAGTCATCAGAAAATAGGCACCAAGATAAGTTTTATTTTTGACAGAATTATAAAATATCTTCAAAGAATAAACTGCTGGAGACCCAAGTATTCCTAATTATTCATAATATTTTCAAATGTAAATACTACTTTTGAATGTTACTTTTTGAATCTTTTCAAATGTAAATATTAGATTTTGAACTAAAATTTTTGGAAAAAAATGTTACAACGATCTTTTAAAAACCAAAATTTATTAAAACTTATTTTGAATTAACAAGACACGAGGGTTAATGAGACAAGAATCTGATATTAAACTTTTTTTAATTAAAAACATGGCAATGCGGAGATGTCTTATGAAGATGTTATTTATGCAAAAAACCACAATGTTTATATTAGCTTTTTGTTGAAACTATTCTAGTTTTTAATGCTTGTGTTATTTTTTTTTTTTAATTTTTTTTTGCGTCTCGTACTCAAAAGAAAATACCAGGAAAAAATTAGGACAGTTTCTAGTTATAAAAGTAACAGATTATTATTTTTTGCTTTTTTTGTTTTTATATCTCCATACTTACTTTTTATATCTGCATATTTAATTAAAAAATTTAAGAGAAAAATTATATATATATATATATATATATATATATATATACATATATATATATATATATATATATATATATATATATATATATATATATATATATATATATATATATATATATATATATATATATATATATATATATATATATATATATATATATGTATATATATATATATATATATATATATATATATATATATATATATATATATATATATATATATATATATATATATATATATATATATATATGTATATGTATATGCACACTCTCACACACACAAAAATTACGTACATATTTATATATATATATATATATATATATATATATATATATATATATATATATATATATATATATATATATATATATATATATAAGTATATATATATATAAATATATATACAATATATATATATATATATATATATATACATATATATATATATATATATATATATATATATATATATAAATATGTACGTAATTTTTGTGTGTGTGAGAGTGTGCATATACATATACATATATATATATATATATATATATATGTATATATATATATATATATATATATAATATATATATATATATATATATATATATATATATATATATATATATATATATATATATATATATATATATATATATATATAGAGAGAGAGAGAGAGAGAGAGAGAGAGAGAGAGAGGTGACGATGGATTTTACGATGGATAACCCCCAAAAGGTGATTTTCAAGTTATATATGTATATATAGACATTTTCTTTAGTACCCAGGTTTTATCTTCTAGTACCCAGACCGCTAAAAATCCCCTTTACATATGTTTTCAAGATTGATAATAAATAAAAAAATAAATAAAAAAATTCCTGTATAAACATGTTTAATAAGCATATAAATATTTGCAAATGCATACGTGTAAACAAATATCTACGTGTAAACAGTTATCTACTTGTAAACAGTTATCTACGTGTAAACAATTCACGCGTCATCTGTTCAAGTGAAGAGTTTAAATAGTTTAGTGTCTTACTTTAATTTAAAACAGTTCAGTTTATTAAAGCCATGCTCTTATAGGAGTCTGAGTTTCAAGTTCATAATTTATATTTAATTTAGTTTGTTTAAATGATTTATATAACATCTAATTTTTTTTTCTAACAATCAGATTTTATAAATCTTAAGCAAATAATGTTAGAAAAAATTATTTGCCGAAAAGTTGATAGGTGATATTAATATATTATACTAAAATATAGTTAAATATAGATATGTATTAAACATTCGTAATAAAATTTAAAATATTTATAAACATTTCTTGTAACAATTGCAGATAAAATAATCAAAATTTTAATTAAATCTTAAAATAATAGTTATACTATTACATGCAAATTATCAATACAATTTTATTTTGTCGCATTGAATGACAACATTTCGTGACAACAGGTGTATAATTTTTGTTAGGCAGATATTGCACATATTGTATATTTGGTATGTTTGGTATACGAAAGTCATTTTATTGAAGATAAATGAACCTAATAGTAATTCATACAATTTTTTTGGTAGTTTTATCTATTTGCATTGTGATCATCAATGGCGCATGTATTTATGTTATTTCAACTTCAAAACGACTTTTGCAAAATCCCTCTATAATACTGATTTTAAACATCATACTGATACATTTTTTTCAAGGAATAATAGTAATGCCTTTATATAGTATCGAACTTTTTAATGGGCATGGTTTGGTTTGTGGAGCTTACCGATTTACATCTATGCTTGCATTTTATGGTTCTTGTTTGAGTGTTTTTTTATTGAGCTTAGACAGATTGCTTGCCATTAAAATGCTAACAGCTTACCACGTTAATGTAACAAAATGTCGCGTTTTAAAATCAATTACATTGTGTTGGACGTATGTAGTAGGACTTTGTCTTATTCCTTTTTTTCCGTTTGCGAAAAAAACTTCAAGCATTGTCAAATGTAGCTATAACCAACCTAAACTTTGGTCAATTTTAATGCTTGTTGTCAACGCGTTACTTGTGTACATTTTTATTGTTTTTAACTATGTTTTAGTCAGGCAAAAATTAAGAAAAACTAATATATTATTAAGAGAATCAACCAATAGTAGAAATTCTGGTATGAATCAAGGTAAATGTTCAAAACTGTTTAAAGTTTCAAAAACAACATATGTAATACTATGGTTAGTGTTATGCTATGCGATCACCTGGGCACCAACTATTGTTTATGTACTTGTACAACGTTTAAGTCTTGCTCCATCTATTTTCAATAAACACTATTATAAATCGCAAATTGGAGCAGCAATCACCTTTTATGTCAAGTACATTAACTTTTTTGATGGCATAATATCACCTATCATTTTTTGCTATAATTTTCGCGCATTTCGATTGAAATTTAAAAAAATAAATTTAAAATGGAGTAAATCATCAAACAATAGCCAAGTGAAGTTTGGAAATTAATACACCTATATATCTTCTAGTAACTTTCCTTATTTCTCAGCATTATAAGTTATACATAATGCTGTTAAATATATGGTCAAATAAGTCAAATATTGAATAATTTTACAAGATTTGAAATATTCTTTAAAAAATAAAATATTTTATAACACGTTTTTTTTTAATTGTCACCATTTCAAGAATTTTGCAGCAATGTTCATTTGATTTTACGCCCTAAGTCTGATTGAAGCAATGTGTTCATGGGTTATTTAGGAACAAA